TCGGGTTGTTGCTTGCACAACTTCATCTAAAAATCTGACTAGATTACTCACCACAAAACCCTATACCAGCCACAACATTTGCAGTGCGTCTAAAGGCTCACTGCCACTTTGGAACAGTTGGATTCAAATTCTAATAACAGTTACATTCGGCATTCATCCAAAATTAGGGATTGGAAACCAAATCAATTCGATTACATGACAATCCAAACAAATGTATTTATTATGTGTCCCTCCACCAAGACAAAGAAAATTAATAATACAAAGCACACAAGACACATCAAGTTCGCACCATTGTAAACATCACTAATAAAACAGAAAACAGGGAGGATAAAAGGAAATGAGGCACCCATGTGAGTTTGTTCGAGGTCCCCTGAAAAACACTGCCATACCCCATACGCCTCCTGCAATAACAAATATCTGCACACCCAAAGAAAAGCATGCATTACTGCCGTCATCATTATAATACAAGTTTTCAATAGATCTCAATCAGCTACTGCTCTACCATTCCTATCTGTTGCATCTGAGATCATAGATCTCAATCAGCTACTAGAATGTTCTGATATCTAGGTATTAAACCATCTTTAAATTATTATTCCATAATATTTTTCATTCATAAAAACAATGTAGCTAAATACATTTCTATTGTGTAGAAGAACGTTGCAGTGAGGCTTATTAAGCTGCCCGTCGTTAGAGGGAAAAAAAATCAAAAAGAGCATCCTTTAGCCCTCAAATTCCAGCTTCAGCCAATGCAATATCCACTGGGACCATTAAGGGAGCAAGTTCAACAACAAACAAGTTGGCCGAGTGCATGACATTTGTTCCAACTCCGGGATTCAAGCATCCCACAAAAATATTTTGAAGCTCCAGCTTCCTTATTTCTCATTTAATATTTTGGAATTTGAATCACTATTTTATGTAATTTAATATACAATTGTTATAATTCCAATTTATGGAACACTGATGTGATTGTGGTTTTTAGATTTGTGCTCAACTATTTCTTTTTATTAATAAATGAATTTCTCTACTAGAGTTGTTAAATTTTTATGTCTTCTTTTAAACTCATCAATCTTTGGAGTAATAGTGAAATTGACAACGAGGATAAAATAAACTTTTTAAAACTTTTTTAAATTTTGTGAAGTTA